GATAGAATTAAATTTAAAGAGCACATTAAAGTGATTATTAAAATGAATATGATTATGTTATTTTTATGACCAACGTTGTAAATAACATGATCATGTTTTATTATTGAAACTAAATGTGCATTTATTTCTATTTTTGTCCAACGGTTATATAGTTTTAATTGCATAAACAGTAAAGGCCTATGCGGGCGGGTGCATATTGACCATGGGTCAATTTTGCGGCTGGGCCGCATGCACAAAGTACACCTTGTCAGTCAAAGTCTATTCTTTCAGAAGCATATTTTTGATGAATTATTGATCTCTACTCAAATTGAACCAACGAGATATTTGTTTAGAGATTACAGAAGTAACACAAATGCTTCTGAATAGTATGTTTTTTTTTTCACGATCTAAAGATGATTTAATTATGATAGTACAGATGAGTTATTTCCTGTGTGGGGAAACAACTTTTAAGCTTAAAGTTCATAAAGGCTTCCGCTGTTTTAAGTGAAAGAAAAGTTGAGCATTAGTTTGTTCATACAGTTAAATCCATAAAGATGATAAATTCTCAAAGAAGAGAATTTTAAAATTAATTATGATGTTGTCGTTTAATGATCATAGCTGATGATGACAACATTATTATATGATATTCGCAAATCCTGTTTTTGCCCAACGGTGATCTAGGATTCAAAGTACAAGAATATCATATGTTTTAATTTTGATCAATGTTAAATTAAAATACAATATTTTTCCTGGAAGAGAGAAATTTTGCAAACAACAGTTGATTTCCATCAACGCTACAGTTAAAGTTTTAGTACTTACTCGGCTGCACTGCTGATGTTAAGAAAGAAAAATCGAGCGTCGTTCTGATTTTTTCTCGGTACGATAAAAGACAAAAGGGAACGAATATGTTCCGGAAATGAGTTATCATTTCTCTCTCTCTAAAGTTTTCATGATGTTTCAGTTTGTTATTTTTTTCTGATTAAATTGGAACAAACGAGAAAATTTAATCGGAAAAATAAAGTATAAGTGCATTTTTTAAGTCATTATGACTAAAGGTAATCAACATATTGTCCTTCAATAGTGATTGAAATAAATAACATGCATGTTCAGTTTGACCAACGTTGAATTAAATATGTGCGTTAGCAGTGCATTGATTGTTAACAATGCATTTATAGTTTAATACCGCATGTCGAAAAAGTTTTGGCACTTGTGTCATTCATAACTTTGGATGGCAAAGAAAGTTTTAGCGAGGACTCATGTACTACTTCAGTATCACATAAAAATGAAGAAGTCTGGGGGAGCTTTTAAAGCTATCCAAACAAATCCCATGCATTTCCATAGTGTCATGCTGGATAGTGACTTCGAAAGAGCCGAAGGACAGAATAAAGTTGTATACGAACAGAAGTCAAGATTGCAAGCATAACTTGCAAAAGTGTACCAATATCAAGAACTCTAATGGGTTCTTGAAAGTGCAACAGAATAAAGAACTCTGATGAGTTCTTGAGGGGAATGAGGAAATAATACTCCCATTGTTCTTGCATGACTTGATCATGTGACCACACCAAGTAATAAAAGACTCCTCGTTCACAAGTGTTACAAATAGTTTCAAAATTATGGCCGCAAAGTAGTTTGTGCCATATTTCGAGGGGGAGAAAGATTAGGAAGATAAGAAATTCTCCTCAAAATTGAATACGATGCATACAATGTATGTTTAAAGTAAGAATGATCTATTAAAGAAGAATATGATCGAGAAGGGAGTACATCGCTCATATCATTGATACCCCAAATCAAATAAAGCCAAACGGAAGCTAGTAAATATACCATCTTTACAATAGATGGGATAATCTGGGGAGTAAAGTATGTTGAGAACTAAAGCTTGAAGAGAAGTGGGACCATATGTTCACTTCGAATGATTCAAGCACAACAATTGTTTCGGCGTTGTATGAACGACAGAAGTTGAGATGACAACAGATGTACAACACCTGTCGTTAACTCTTCAAAAGAAAATAAAGTCAAGGGAACTCTTGTTACTCAGGACTCTGTAGTATCAACCGTCTCTTGGCAATGGAAAATAGAAACAACCCCAGATAGAAAATAAAGTGATTCCGCCTTTTTTGGTGAAGCCATGAGAGGCGCTCATTCATCGAAATGGCAAGAACCATGGAAGACGTCATGAGACCTAGAAATTCCTACTCGTTTTGGAACAAAGAATAAGTTCCCAACGGAGCCAAAACAGTAGGCTGTAATAGGTCTACAAGATTAAACTGTGACTCCTGAGGGAATATGAAAAGCCACTAAGCGCGACTTGTGGCAAAAGGCTTTATGCAAAGAAAAGATAAGTGATAATGAGACATCATATGCAGTCTCATAAAAGGATTGTCTTAGAATCACAATGGCATTAGTGGCATACTAATATTTTGGAATTGCATCAGTTGGATGTAGAAACAACATCTCCCAAAAGGAGATTTGTATGAGAAAACCCTTACACAACACAACCCAAGGGTTTTGTTGTGAAAAGAAAAGAAAAATATGGGATGCCACATGAAGAAATCCATTTATGGATCAAAGCACGCCACTGAACAGTGGCATCTAAAGATTAAAGAGGACGAAGAGAAGTTTTGGGTTTTAAGGAAGGTCAGGATGAAAAATTGAATATTTGCAAAGTTCAAAGATGGGAAATACTTTTCCCGCTTTCGACGTGTAGATAATGTACTACTTACTAGTAGTGATGTTCAATCTACCGTTGAAGAAAAAGAAGATTATTTGTGACATCAAGTCATGATCACAGTAACCTCAATGAAGGTCTATTCGCCCAAAGAATGGAAATTCACCGGGATAAAAGAAGAGGGGTATTAGGATTATCGCAAAAAGCATACTTAGAAAAGAATTCTAATGAGATATAGTATGCATGCGAGTAAGTTTATGCCTGTCTTATAGTCAAGGGTAATAGTTTGGGAATATTAAGTATTCCAGGAACCAATATGAGATCGATCAAAAGAAAGAGGTTCCATGTGCTTCAGCTGTTGGAAGCAAAATCAGTGCTATTTACCCTGACATAGCTCAATTATCCGGGAAATTTTTGGCAGAAGTCCAGTCCAGCAATAGATCACTGGAATGGAGTTAAAGAACGTTTTGCAATCTTACAAAGTATTGTAAGCCTCATGCTAAATAAGAAAGGGACACGTACTCTCAAAAGTTGTGAGTAAAAGAACTAAGTTTTGGCGGGATGTTTAGTGAAGCCCACACTTGTAGCTAAACACTCGTACCTTCGGAGTTTTATTGTGGAAAAGCTCCAAAAGCAAAATAGTTGCGGTGTCATGAGTTATGTATACCGCAAAGTATAGCATGATATGAGGCTACATGACAGGCTAAATGGTTAAAGAAAACCTTACCTGGAATTGATGATGATATGCAACAGCAATATATCATCCAAATATTTTATCTCCTACGTCAACATGTCAGGTGTACTGCCAAACACATTGACAAAGAGTTATATGTTGTGAAGGAGAAAATCGAGAATCATATGATTGCACTAACGGTGTAAGTACCAAACAGATGCTTACAGATCTGCTTATCAAAGGTCTACCACCCAGCGTGTTAAGAGAACATGCAGTCGACATGGGAATTATGGGAGGTCTGTGATTTCTGGATTACTAAAGGGCCCAAAGAAAGGTTAAGGTCTTGTTTCAATACAGAAAGATGCATTGTGGCTGTTAATCTGACGGTAACTGATAACTGTTATGACGAGGCACGCCCTACGTATTGATCTGCACTGAGACAAGGACCAAGAGCAAATTAAGAGAAAGTCAAAAGAGTTACGTCAAAGTGTGAAGTTAAAAGTATAAGGTGAGATCAAGGGGGAGAATGTTAGTGTTGATCTCCTCTTAGTTGGCCCAACGGCCAACTGGACCCTTGACTCAGTCCTGATCGAGGACACTCAACTCAACTGGGTTGCGGGCCCCTGTCACACAGCTCCATATAAGGGAGGTGGGGGCCACGAGTGCAGAATGCTGAAGAATGGTTCGCACCCCACCTGCCCTGCCTACTGATCGAGGCGGAGCTGACAGCGACGGGAAGCTCCGCCACCGCTATCTCTCTGTCCACTCATCGCCGCCGTCACCATCCCATCATGGCCACTGGCGGCAGTTCAACGCACCAGGAGAAGGTAATACCTATCACTACTACCGAAAATCTCAGGCCGATCCGATCCAGAGGGATCTATCACATCGTAGTCCCAGTCCAGTAGGCTTGGGCCAACTCTGAACATAAATGTTGGGCGACTCGGGCCGCTTCCTGACAAGCCATCGTCTCGGCGAACCAAGCGTGAAAGCACACGGCGGCCTTGTACACTCACAAAACAAGAATAGAACACCTCTGAGGAAGAACGCAGTGTCATCTGTATATTGTTGAAATCAGATAGATGTTGTTTTTTAGGCAAAGGATATAAGAAGAAATATGCAGATATAGGCTATTAATGCATGTCATCATCAATACCTTCTTATAGGGAGCCAGGGATGGTTGAACAAGATTTTTTTTTAAAGGTGACTGTGATTATGATGCAATTGGTAATGATATTATATCTGGATGACCTGGTGATGTGCTGCCATTTGGAAACACTCTGAAGAAAAAGATATGGAGGAAATTACCGTGGACACATGAACATGCGAGTCTTCCAGAATCGGCAGCAACGGTAATGATCCTTGTTGTTTTCTGGGTTTTGTGCAGGTTCGGCTTGGGCTTTGCACCCGCAGATAGATAGATCATATAGGAGTAGATAGATCATATAGATAGATAGAAATTCCTTTTCAACAGGAACGAAATGAAAAGAGCGGAACAAGCGATCCATTTCCGCAAGCTGACGACCAATCTCTTAACTGGGGAGACGAGCAGTTGAAAATAAAATTGGTACAGATGAAACCTATTACAGCTACAAACTTGTGCGAGTCGCGCATCGACGACGGCTCGCCTTAGCTAACATCTTATTACACCCCGGCCCGAAGCAATGCGCCGTCGCTGGCGGCTCAGCAGTTTTTGTTGCAGAAGCAGAGTATCTTGTAGGGGTCGAAGTAGCTCCCCTGGCACACCCCGCTACCGTAGCCCTCCACTTGGCAGTGCTCCACGCATCGGCCGGTCTCGCAGTTGGGAGAGTCATAGGTCTTGCTCAGCTCCTTGCAAGTCGCCCCTTGAGATCCTGCAGGTGAAGGACAGCATAGCATCATCAGATTTCCTTTTTTTTCTTCTTTGCACGATGAGAAAAGGACAGCATAACATCTGCTCAGGAACAGGAACACCGATGAAGTGCCGTGTTCTTCAGATGGATGAATTTCTTTCAGGCAAGGCTTACCAGGGAGCAAGAGGAGCGGCATGATCAGCAGAAGCAGGCACAGGCCTGGCACCATGAGCTTGGGCGCCGCCATCGCCATGTCTCCAAGGAATGAAGGAATGAAGGGGGGAGGGAAGGAAGGAAGGGGCTAGGAGAAGGCGCAGATCCAAACTGGTGATTGGCGTCTCTTCTTATAGCCAGCCATGGAGGATGAGACCTTAGGATGCATTTACCTGCTGCTTGGTAATCCAAAATGTTGTGCTGTGCATTGGAAAGCAATCTGCTGGGAATTTACTGAAAATATATGGACCATTTAAAGCCCACATGCTGAAAAGATACGGGGACAGCTTATACTCCTCTCAGTCACACACTCCTCATTTGAGCAGAATGAGAGAGATTTTAAGATGGTCCCTTTTAATTACCTTCTAAGAAAGTATTGACCAGAATAAGAGAGAATTTAAGAAATAAGCGAGAATTTAAGATGGTCCCTCTTAATCACCTTCTAAGAGAGAATATTAGGGGGTGAAGTGCTAATCACCAACAGTTCCAGGTGAAGGAAGACACTATGGTATGATCTCACTGCATAATAGATAGTTATAACCAGATTGAAATACTTTTAATGTTTGTGTCTACTGGAGATTGGTCTTTGGATGTTCAAGTAACACTAGAGATGGATTCACATACAAACAATCGAGTAGACATAATCATGTCACAGCAGCTATGTCCATATCTCTGCATTTGTAGCATGCTCTGTTTTGATTCCAATAATACAAGAGACAAAGGCATCAGTCTCTACTTATTCACACCAATAAAAGATTTCATCAGCAGAGAGGACCATCAAGAGCTTAATATGATTCCTGCTCATCAGGATGAACCCAAAAGGGAGGCAGACTATTGCAACTTCACCTTTATTATACTGATCTGCTCTTCACGGCAAATACGACATAGAAGTTCACATGTACACTTCCTTATAAACACACAACAGTATTATTACTTCACAAGCATCATCAGCAGGGTTTCCTGCAGAAGCAGACTAAGGCGAGAGGTTCTAAGGCGACGAACTCACACCACCCACGAGGGAAGCCCTCGTTGCGGCAGTGCTCAGCGCATGGGTTGTCCGCACAGTGAAAAGTAGTGTAGGTCTTGCTGAACCACTTGCAATAATCGCCTGCTTCAGATCCTGCAGTCAAAACAAGGACACCATTTTGCTTAGCAGCATCAAACAAAGAATAGAACACCGAGAAACCGTTATATTCTTCAGATAACTATTTCAGGGAAGGCTCACCAGGAAGCAACAGGAGTGGCATGAGCAGCAGCAAGCACAAGCCTGGCATCTTGATCTTGGAGACCTCCATGTCTTCAAGAATAAACATCCAAGGGAGAAATGAAGCTAGGGGAGAGGAGACGGTACAGATTCAAATAGGTTAGTGCCTTCTCTTCTTATAGTCATGGATGGCCAGACCATATAAAAAAACTATGTAGAAAACAGAGAGTATGATGCAATTATATCTTGAAGATGCATTTCTTTCTGGATAATGTAATCATGTGTTGCACCTTCAAAGTTCATAGCAATCTTGAGACTTTTATGGATGAAAACAAACATAGGGATGATGCAGCTCGGTTTTGTATACATTGGCAGATGCTGGAATTTTTGGTCTAGATAGAGCTGACCCATTTTTTTTTCCAAAAAGAAGGATAACCACCGGCCTCTGCATGCAGCGATGCACACAACCATTTTTTATTAATTATCCAACAAAGCCTTACAAAGTAATACAACAATTAGTCTGAAGCCACCTTCCTGACAACACTGCTGGCAACATCCGTCGCTACTCCTACCAACCTGATGAAGGTGGTGCACATGATCAGGGCCGCCTGCCCATACCTCACACCAATCTGCCCAACAGCGGGTGATAAACCAGTCCAGTGGGCTCTCAGTGGGCACCGCATAAGCACGCTCCAGAGGCTGCCACCACCATCTTTCGCCGATCCATCTTCAGAATTGGTATCAATGCATTGACCTTGCCAGGCTGCCGTCGACGCCGCCACGCCGGCTAACGACGCCACCTCCCTACGCAAGTCTATTATCACGCATTCGTCGCCAAGACCCTGTTGTGCTACGCCGCTGAGACTCCACGTCGTCGATGCGTCAGATGCAACGCTGCTCCACCACTGAAACCGTCCACTGGTCCCTCGAGCCGATGAACACCTCCAAGAATGACGCCCCCAAGGGGGGAACGATACATGAGAGCCATCATCATCCGGTCGACTGATCAAGGGTTTCTCCTGGAGGTAGCGGAATGACCTCGATGATTCCTTCAACAAGGAGATGACGCCTAGGGCTTCGCCATCACCAACTCTAGCCACCGGCCGAAGATAATATCTTCACCCGGATCTTCCCCACGAGTTCCCAATGGACAACCTGCGCACCGGCCAGACCACCTTCAAAGCCCTAGATCTGGCCGCCCAGATCTAGTGACTACCCAACAACACTGTCACCGCGGGAGCCTTGCCACTCCGGCCACTGCCAGCGTGCGCCACCACTGGAGCCTGGGGGGAAGGGCCGCAACCCCACCGCGCTGAACCGCGAGAGCTGCTGGGAAGGATCCCGCTCCTGATCTTCATTGTTGCTGAGCCGAACCAACCGGAGCCAAAGCCACCAGATGGCCAAAGCAGCTCCGCCTTGGACTTGGGCACCACCATGCCATGCCGCCGAGGGCCACCCCAACTTCACCTACCGCCACCAACCAGAGCCCCCCTGGGGATCTAGGCCAAACGTCACTGCCGCCACTGGCCACGCCCAGCCACAACCCTACTTTCGGCCATCGATCCCCACTAGCGCCATAGCAAGCGCCACCGCCGGGAGCCGCCGCACCGTCGTGGGCCGAAACGAAGGCCACACTCCCATGAATATGGCTACCTTGTGCCATCCTTCGACCTAGGAGAGGGAGGAGAAGCCCTCCGCCGCCGTTGTTGCCCGCCGCCGACCATTGGCGGCGATGAAGGGGAGGGCGTCTGCCCGATGGCTAGGGTTTGG